TGAATATTTTGGTTTTTTTTCATTGTTATTGTTTCACTGTTATTGTTGCATAGGTCTGTGAGATTTATGCTTTAAGGAGGTTCTATTTTGGTGTGTTTTGAGGATTTGTTTCAAGATTTAGAGCTCCTTTTAGCAGTTCTTGTAGTGCTGGCTTGACAGTGGCAAATTTTCTCAGCATTTGTTTATCTGGAAAAGACTATATCTTTCCTTCATTAATGTAGCTTAGTTTCACTGTATATAAAATTCTTGGCTGATAATTGTTTTGTTTAAGGAAGCTAAAAATAGGACCCCAATCCCTTCTAGCTTGTAGGGTTTCTGCTGAGAAATCTGCTATTTATCTGATAGGTTTTCCTTTATAGGTTACCTGATGCTTTTGCCTCACAGCTCTTAAGATTCTTTCCTTCATATTGACTTTAGATAATCTGATGACTGTGTGCCTAGGCGATGATATTTTTTTTCTTTCTTTTTTTGTAGAGAGAGTTTTGCTCTTTTGCCCAGGTTGGAATGCAGTGGCACAATCTTGGCTTACTGCAACCTCTCCTCCCTGGATTCAAGCAATGCTCCTGCCTCAGCCTCCCAAGTAGCTGGGATTATAGGTGCCCGCCATCACGTCCAGCTAATTTTTGTATTTTTAGTAGAGACAGAGTTTCACCATGTTGGCCAGGCTGGTCTTGAACTCCTCACCTCCGGTGATCCACCTGCCTTGGCCTCCCAAAGTGCCAGGATCACAGGCGTGAGCCACTGCGCCTGGCCTAGTGATGATCTTTTTGTGATGAATTTCCCAGGTGTTCTTTGAGCTTCTTGTATTTGGGTGTCTAGATCTCTAGCAAGGCCAGGGGAGTTTTCCTTGATTATTCCCTCAAATATGTTTTCCAAACTTTTAGATTTTTCTTCTTCCTTGGGAACACCAATTATTCTTAGGTTTGGGCATTTAACATAGTCCCAAACTTCTTGGAGGCTTTGTTCATTTTTAAAAATTCTTTTTTTTTTTTTTTTTGTATTTGACAGATTGAGTTAATTTGAAAGCCTTGTCTTTCAGCTCTGAAGTTCTTTCTTCTGCTTGTTCAGTTCTATTGCTGAGACTTTCTAGTGCATTTTGCATTTCTCTAAGTGTGTCATTGATTTTCAGAAGTTGTGATTATTTTTTATGTATGCTATCTATTTCATTGAAGAATTTTTATTTTATATCCTGTATCATGTTTTTGATTTCTTTAAATTGGACTTCACCTTTCTTTGGTGCCTTCTTGTTTAGCTTAATAATCGACATTCTGAATTCTTTTTCTGGCAATCCAGATATTTCATCTTGGTTTGGATCCATTGCTGGTGAGCTGGTGTGATCTTTTGGGGGTACTAACAAATCTTGTTTTGTCATATTATCAGAATTGTTTTTCTGGTTCCTCTTCATTTGGGTTGACTATGTCAGAGGGAAGATCTGGGACTCAAGGCTGCTGTTCAGATTCTTTTGTCCCACGGGGTGCCCCCTTGATGCAGTGTTCTCCCCCTTCCCCAAGAATGGGGCTTCCTGAGAGCTGAACTGCAGTGATTGCTTTTGCTCTTCTGGCTCTAGCCACCCAGCAGAGCTACTGGGCTCCAGGCTGGCACTGGGGAGTGTCTGCAGAGTCCTGTGATGTGATCCTTCAGGTCTCTCAGCCATAGATACCAGCACCTGCTCCAGTGGAGGTAGCAGGGTAGTGACGTGGACTTTGCGTAGGTCCTTCCTTGTATTTCTGTTTAGTGTACTGGTTTTGTGTTGGTTGGCCAGGAGGTGGGGCTTCCAAGAGCACATCAGCTGCAATCGTATAGGGAGGATGTAAAATTGCCCTAGAGACACCTGGTTAAATATTCAGGTTTCTCAGGCAGTGGGCAGGGCCATAGAGCTCCCAAAGAGATTATGATCTTTGTCTTCTGCTACCGGCATGGGTGGAGAAAGACCACCAGGTGGGGGCAGGGATAGGCATGTCTGAGCTCAGACTCTCCTTGGTTGGGTCATGCTGTGGCTGCTGTGGGAGATGGGGGTGTGGTTCCCAGTCCAATGGAGTTGTATTCCCATGGGGAGTATGTCTGCCTCTGCTGAGTCATACTGGTCGCCAGGGAAGTGGGGGAAAGCCAGCAATCACAGATCTCACCCCACTCCCATGCAGCCTGCAGTCCTAAAGGCTGGTCTCATTCCCACCGTGGCCCCCCAACATCACGAAGTCTATTAACAGGCAGCTGGTGACCAGGGCTGAGGACTTGCCCTAGACCACCAGCTTCCCCACTGAGGAAGCAAGCAAGCAAACTCACAGGTTTTCAGCATCTCAGGGGCCCTGCAGCAGTGATCTAGTTCTTTCAACGGGTCTGTGGATTCTGTTAGCTTTCCTGGTATGTTCCTGCAGTAATTCTTGGAGAAAAAGTTCACAATGTGAGTCTCCGCACGCTGCTCTGTCAGTCGGAGCAGGAGCTGCAAGCTAGTCCTGCCTTCTATCCGCCATCTTGCCCGCATTCTTTTAGCTTTGAAAGTAAATCTTGCCCTAGCAAGTCTACTGGAGCAGTATCCCATAGTATAAAAGTATGTTTTTTCTGAAAATGGCCCCAAAGTCAATTGAACAAGTTCAAACATAAGAACCTCTTGAAATTCATTCAAAACCCCCACCAAAAAAAAAAAAAAAAAAAAAAAAAAAAAAAACAATTTTTTTTCTCTGAGTGATGTGTTGATCTATTAAAGTGGCTTTATGGTAGATAGGAGGCTTTGGTATCCACCAGGATTGTACAAGATTTCCTTTATTCTAACTCTTGTTTCTCTATGTTTATTTAGAGGTATTATGGGCAGCACTTTACCAGGGGACTCTCTTAGAGTCTGGTCAATTATCACGAGAGCTAAAATCTCTTGGGCTCTCTCTAGCCTAAAGGAAAGAGGCTTATTGGTGGACTGACAGAAAAATGGAGAATTTCTTTTCCAGCCTCTCTTTTCTAGTCATTTGCAATAAAGGCAGATACTTTGGGATCTCTTGTTTTAGGACCTCTTGGTTGAAAAAGCTTCATAGGTTGCAGCTTTTTGAAGGTTGAAGGGACATAGGCTTGTTAACATTTGGGTTTTTTCTTCCTGTAGAGTCCTTTCAAAATGTTCAGCTACAGCCACCAATTCAGTCATATCTGTCACTTCCCATCTAGGTTTATGATTTTTAATTAAACTGCGAAGTTCAGGACGAAGTCCGTTTATAAATAGAACAGTTAATGCCATTTCAGTCTCTGCAGGAAATGCTCCTTGCCATATGTTGAGCTCAGAATATTTCTGAAATTGTGTTTCTAAGTGAGTTCTAAATCTGAAACTGGTTCATCTTTTTTTTTTTTTTGTCTTGTCTGCAGGATTGCATCATGGACCAATCAATTTTCGGTGAATGTGATTGGTCCATCATGCAAACCAGCAGACAAAAATGTGTGAAAAATCTTAGAAATTGAATCTAGAAGGGGTTCAGCATTTTTTCATGCTCCTTTTGGCCCTTTCCATGAGGAGGTCTTGGAGGGGTCTTTAATATCCTCCTCATGTGTGTTCCATTCTGTTGCTGGCATCCATTTGCCAGGTCCCAATATCATGTGAATAAATTGGTAAAGGTCAAGGAGTTCTGGATCCTACGTTCCTAGGAAGATTCTAAATTCCTCAGTAAATTTTTGAAGATTTCTCCTTGTATCAGGGAAGTCCTTTACAATGGCTCTAAGCTCAATTTTAGATCATGGAGTTAAAGTGGTTACAGCAAGAAGGCCTGGCTGATTGGAGGTCTTATTTTGTAAAGACATCTGTTTGCCTTCCTTTTTGTCAATCGTCTTCAGGGTGAAAGGGTAATTTAGCAAGGTTAGTGGACTCAGAATATTTAGTTAGGGATGGATAAAGAGAATAAACAGTTGTAGTTAGTTCAGTAAGAGCATAGTCCTTATTTTTTTCAAAGTGTCTTACCACTGGAAATTTAAAAAATTAATTTATTATAGGTCGGACACAGTGGCTCATGCCTGTAATCCCAACAATTTGGGAGGCTGAGGCAGGCGGATCACCTGAGGTTGGGAGTTTGAGACCAGCCTGACCAATATGGTGAAACCCTATCTCTACTAAAAATACAAAATTAGCCAGGCGTGGTGGTGTGCACCTGTAATCCCAGTCACTTGGGAGGCTGAGGCAGGAGAATTGCTTGAACCTGGGAGGCAGAGGTTGTGGTGAGCTGAGATCACGCCAGTGCACTCCATCCAGCCTGGGCAACAAGAGAAAAACTCCATCTCAAAAAAACAAAAACAAAAATAATGTATTGTTATTATTATTTATCATTATTTTGAGACAGTGTCTCACTCTGTTGCTCAGACTGGAGTGTAGTGGTGCAATCTTGGCTCACTGAAGCCTCAACCTCCTGGGCTCAAACAATTTTCCCACCTCAGCCTCCCAAGTAGCTAGGACTACAGGTGTAAACCACTACGCCTGGCTATTTTTTGTAGAGATGAGGTCTCACTATGTTGCCCAGGCTGGTCTTGAACTCCTCGACTTAAGCAGTTTTCCCACCTTGACCTCCCAAAGTGCTGGGATTACAGGTGTGAGCCACTGTGCTCGGCCTTAGTCCTCTTTCATGATGTCCTTAGTCTGTTGTTTAAGATTTTCACTTGCTTTTTGCAAAGAATCTTTTAGGGATGCAATTTTTGATTTGTTTAGTCTTTTAGATGCCCCCCCCAACACCCATACTAATTAAATATATATATTTAATATATATAATATAAATATATATTTAAATATATATTTAATATATTTAATAGTATAAGAATATACTATTCTTAAATATATATAAAGAATATATACTATTGTTTTTGTGTGGGATTCTGATACCTTTTTTCTCATATGACTTGCAAATAAATAATTTTAACCAAATTAAAACTTCCCCATTATCTTTTCCAAGTTGTCTCAGTGAGGTTAACCCATTTTTCTGAAAATGCACATGTTCTGGGTCCATAATTTTATACATAAAAGTAGCTGGAGTCCCAGAAGGTGGAGTCCCAGACTCTTTTAATTGAGATGAACTCATTATCAAAAAGGAACCCACCTGAGGCCCTCAGCCTCTAACCAAATCTAATCCAGCTGATTATCGAATCCAATCCAATACCAAACCCAGCCCAGTCCAAAGATTGCTCAAACAAACTTGGAGAGCTGAGAACACAGATTCTTGGATCTTGGAATCTGAAAGAAAATTCAGCCACAACCTCCAGTTACAAACAAGCGATCAGTGGGCACAGCTGGCTCCACGGGTATCTGGTCTGGTTCCCTGGTGTTCCTGGGGGTTGCTGAAGTTTTACTCTGTATTCTCACTTCTGACACCAAATCTGTTAAAATGAAAACTTTAGATATAATAAATTTAACAGAGTTTAATTGAAAAAAAAGAAAAAAGAAAAAAAAAAAACACCAACCAAAATGATTTCTGAATTTGATAGCCCCCAGAATCAGAATAGATTCAGAGACTCTGGGGCTGCTACATGGTCAGATAAGATTTATGGACAGAAAAAGGAAGGCGACATACAGAAATTGTGAGCTACAGAAACAGCTGGGTTAGTTACAGCTCAGCATTTTCCTCACTGGAACAAGGTCTGAATAGCTGGCTGCCTGTGATTGGCTGAGACTCAGCTATTGTTACAGAAGCATATTGCTGAGTTGAGTTTTCAGTTTGTTTAGGTACTAAGTTAGCTTGTTGTTCGTAAGTAAGAACTCAAGTATGTGAGTACAGAGGCTTTCTCAGGCCAAATTTAGTTTGATTTAACAGAAGTGAGGAGCAACCAGCCTCATCCTCACTGCGGCTAGGTGTGGGCATGTCCTGGGCCCTCCCACAGCTCTGGGAATTGCCTGAGAGACAGACGAAGTGGACAAAGTCGCCGACAGACCGGAGTTACTGCCTTGGTCCTGGTGACCCTGCTCCAGGCAGTCCGTCTCTGTCGCTATCCTGGCACCACTCCCGGTGGTTCATTATTGCCCAGAGGGGCCTCTGGAGTGCAAGCCTCAAACAGGGAGACAAACCTGGGAAGACTCCATGTGGCTCCACAGCAACCAACCAGTTCTAAAGTCAGCGTCCCTGGCTTCCAGCTCCAACACTGGACGCTCCCCCATGGCTCCCCTGCCCGGGAATCTGGTGGAGGCTGTTTGGGCAGCCCAGAGGATACTGGTGGGGTGTGGGGAGGAAAGGCTGCAAGGGCAGCTTGGCTGGATCATGGAGGCCCGGGTGAGGCATTTGGACTTACTCTGAGGGCAAGAGAGCAAGAGACTGCAGCTTGGAGAGGACAGCAGTGCTTTGGAAGATGAACCTGGCTTGTTGTGCTGTAAGAAAAGGAGGGAGGAGAGCAGCTTTCTAGGTCACCTGGGGCAGTGACAGCAGGTATGAGGGATGTGAGGATTCTGAGACAAGCTGTGAGGGCGCACTGCCCAGCCTTCCTGCTTGTGGGTGAGGAGCCGTTGGTGAGGATTCTAAGGGCGTGACCCTTGGTGATAAGGTGAATGTGTTATGGCTCACAGGAACAGGGAAGATGGGAGGAGGAGTGGGCTTACAGCAAAGAGAGACGTTTCATTTTATTCAGCTTGGAAGGCCATGAGACTTCCCCATGGAGATAGGTGAGTTTGCCAAATCTGGAGCTCAAGAACCAAGTAAAGGCTGTAGCTGCATATTTAGGAGTAAAGGTAGAAACTGAAGTAATGGGAGGGAGTAAGAGTGTTGAAGACGGAAGTTTTTGATGCCAGAAATAAGCTGTTTAAGGAAATGACCAATCTCATAGAAATCTCCAAGGCCTGTGTTAAAACTATCGCTTACCCCTGCACAGATACCATACGCACGTACCTCTAGCATTGCCTGGTTTATGTCATGTGCACCTAAACATTGCCCTAGCAGGTGGGCCTCTGTAAAAAGGGAAGTAAATATTTGTTCCTGTAGGACCTCTGGTTTTGGATAATATAAATATTAACTTTGGCCAGGCGCAGTGGCTAGCACCTGTAATCCCAGCACTTTGGGAGGCCGAGGCCGGGGAGGATCACCTGAGGTCGCAAGTTCGAGACCAGCCTGGCCAATGTGGTGAAACCCCGTCTCTACTAAAAATACAAAAAATTAGCAGGGTATGGTGGCAGGTGCCTGTAATCCCAGCTACCCGGGAGACTGAGGCAGGAGAATCACTTGAACCCTGGAGCGGGAGGTTGCAGTGAGCCAAGATGGTGCTACTGCACTCCAGCCTGGGCGCAACAGAGCAAGACTCTGTCTCAAAAATAAATAAACAAATATTAACTTTTTAGTACTTTGGGCACATCTGCTTGTAATGCCCCCGAGGTGACTATGGTAGCAGTCCATCCCAAGCTTCTTGGCAATGCCAGTGGCTGGCAATGTGTCACATGCCTGGAATGACCAGAGAATAAGTGCCTGATGGTCTGCTCGGTAGTCATTGGAAGCCACCCCCATGAGGTGGTGACAAACAAGGACTTTGGAAGGCTCTGATGGTGCATTGGAGCTGGGGCTTCTTGAGTATTTTTTTTTTTTTGAGATGGAGTTTTGCTCTTGTTGTCCAGGCTGGAGTGCAATGGCGTGATCTCGGTTCACTGTAACCTCTGCCTCCCAGGTTCAAGTGATTCTCCTGCCTCAGTCTTCTGAGTAGCTGGGAGTACAGGCATGTGCCACCGTGCCCGGCTAATTTTGTATTTTTAGTAAAGACGGGGTTTCTCTATGTTGGTCAGGCTGATCTTGAACGGCCGACCTCAGGTGATCCGCCTGCCTTGGCCTCCCAAAGTGCTGGGATTACAGGCATGAGCCACTGTGCCTGGCCTGCTTCTTGAGTATTTTTGTTGTAAGTTTTAATCCCCACGTTGAAAAAGAACAGCTCCCTCTTGTTGGAGTGGCAGGGGGTTGGTGGTGCTGCCTTGCCTTTAGAGCAGAAGCCCATCCCCATGAGCTGGAGGCAGTGGAAGGTCAACCCCCAAGTCCATGGGGAGTCCCTGGGCAGCTGGGCGGAAACCAGTGAGGAGGCTGATGCTTTGGAATGGCCGACAGCTCTGTGGGTCCCAGGAAGATGAGCTAACCCGCTCACAGCGGGGCCACTAGTTCTGCCGCTTGCCTCGGTGGCTTCAGACGCTCTTTGAGCAGGCTGTGGCCCCCAGAGCTGAATAGGAGTGTAGGACTGACTGTTGGATGGACTCACAGAGACTGAAGTGCAAGCCAGGTGCCATACGAAGAATTCCCAGCGAAGTGGAGCTGCTCGAGGGAGAGCACACGCGCTCGGCCTCTGCGGCATTGCTATGCCTTGATGGGCTCCTGAGCTGTCCGTTTCTGTCCGTAACCTGGACGTCAATATGACTCCTCTCCCCCACCTCCTTGTCTCCCTCCCTTCCTCCTTCCCTCACTTATCCCCTTCTCCCGTCTCTCCATCCATCCTCCCCCTCCACCACCCCCAGGCCCAGTGGAGGGTGACAGCTCACAGCCTGGGTCCTCCGTGTCCATGCTGTGTTCTTTGTGCCCAGCCCTCCATCCGGGAGCAGCACTAGGAGGAAGGTCCTCAGCTCTTTAGGGACATTCCTCTCCTGGAGCCAGGGCCAGCACTGGCAGGGGTCCACGAACCTTGGCTGACAAGTTCTTGTGGCCAGCCTTGCCCTGTGGAGGCACAGAGCCAGAGGCCCTTGCTTCTGACTGGCTGCATTCCCATTGCACATGTGGGAATTGGGAAAGGCTGGGGACCTGCTCAGGCTCGCCTGGATGGCACTTCCCCAGCTCTCTGATGGGTTGTGGGGACACGGCACTTCTGGTCCAGAGAAGTGGGGCCTGGCCCAGGACTTCCCACATCTGGGGCACAATGCTCCCATCCCACACTAGAGAATCAAGAGTGCACTGCACGGAGGAATTTTTAAAGAATTTTCCTAATATGGGAGTGGCACCTTGATCCATGATGGCTCCCAGATACTCAGAGGATACAGCCATCCCCTTGCTGTCAGCCACCAACACCCATCCTTAGAGCTGTCCCCTCTCCTACCCCCCCACTCAGAGTCCTGGCCCCAAGTCTGGCTTCCCAGGGCTGGGAGTCATGGTAATCTCTGAAAACACCATCAGTGCTGGGAACTCAGAGGAGGTTCTGGGTGCTTTGGTTCCATGCATTTGCACCAGAGCTCCCTGGGCCCAGGCTCCGCCTGATGGACCCCATTCTCCCACAACATGGGATCTTGGTTCTGAACCTGCCCTGGGCTGGACCCTGCCCCTAGCTGCCTCTTTCTGGTACCCAGTGCTAGACAGGAAGGCTATCTGCACACCCGACCTTATGTATCATCCATGTAGCTTTCTGATGCTACATGCTCACTGGTTTAAACTGTTGCTCCCGCCACAGCAGGCATGTCAGCCTCCAGCTGTTTGTCAGTTGCTTCAAATGGCTTCCAGCTGCTGAGGCTGAAAAAAGCTGGAGGCTTCAATGGATGCTTCTGCCGCAAAAAGCTTGCTGGGGAGAAGCAAGCAAACACAAAAGAGCAAGTCCCTTCTCTCCTCCTGACCTCAGTCTCCTAGTGCCCCTTATTGGAAGAACCTGCCAGAACCAGCTGACCTAGGGGACATGTAATTTGCACAGATCAATCCCCAGTGGCACCAACCTGACAAGTGGAGATCTGGAGCCGAGACTCAACAGCCAATGGGCAGCACAACACCCTCCCTCCTTTCCTTGCTTGGCAGGCTCTTGCCCCTGCTCCAAGCCTTAGCTCAGCTGTCATTTCTTCCAGGCAGCTCTCTCTGGACCAGCTGTCCCGCTGTGGCTTCCCACAGAGACCTACACGCGCTTCTACCTAGCACAGGACAGACATGATCTCTTCATGCCTCTGTCTCCCTTACTCGGCAATGAGCTTCTGGAGAAAAAGCGACTTTCTCTGTCAACTTCTGTAATTCTCAGGGCTTACTGCGTACCTCTGTACATCTTTATTGAGCCGTAGCTCCTGCAGTTGTAAGCGCTCCCCGGAAGAAGGTTGAGGAGTAGGTGGAGGAGGATGGTTTTTCTTCAGGCTGTCTCTCATCCTGGGATTCCCAGGCACTGCCCCTTTTTTTCTGACAATAATAATGATTAGCATTTGTTGAACCCCTGGCGGGCATCAGGCACAATTCTTACTTCCCACGTATCAACTCATTTAATTTTCATGAACTTATGAACTGAGGTGCAGAGAAGTTAAGCAACTTGCCCAACGTTACACAGTGAGAAAATGGCAGAACCAGAACTTGAATCCAGGCAATCTGGGTTCCAGAGCCTGTGCCCTTGGCCCCTACGTTATTTTGTCTAAGGATGATGAGAATGAGGAAAATGTGGCAGACTTATAATGCTGATGCCAACAATCAAAACAAGAAGATTGAGAAAATGTTACCTTGACAATGGATGTCTTCCCAGCACATTCCCCCCGTCTAGGGAACAATACCTCTCTTATTTTGGGGAAACCCAGCTTCCCAGCTCTCCAGTATGGACTTCCAGAAGAAGCTGCATGAGATAGTGTCTCACAACCATGGGTGGACATGTGACACAATTCAGGTCCCTCCCCGTGGTTGTTCAAGTTGGCAGTGACAGAGCAGAGAAGCTCCTCTTAGGAGGTGAAGTTGGCTCCAGGCTTGCGGAAGAAGAGACTGACCCGCAGGGGTGAGAGGGAATAAGAGCACCTCCTCTCCCTGCCCTGGGTCTTGGGCCTCTGAGCTGGTGAATCCCCCTTTTGCATTGCCTCATTTAATGTCTAGTTTCTCACATTTGTGACTAAAGAGCCCTAACTAATACTAACTTATAATTTACAAAGTCCTGTCACCATGTCATTGATTCTTATGCCAGCATGAGGAAGCAGGCAGGGGGCCATATCTCCATTTCCAGAAGTGGAAACTGAGGCTTGGAGCAGTTAAGTGACTTGCCAAGCAGCAAGTGAGTGACAGAGCTGGCTGAGAAGCTGGTGGTTGGCCCCTCAAGCCAGGGGTCTATCCTCTCCTCTGCCTTGTGCTCTCACGGGCGCCATGGAGAGGGGGTCTGGATGCCACCACCTGCCTCGGTACTCGTGGCCCAGAGCTTTGACCCAGCTGTGATTTCCTCTCATTTCTCTTGCTTTGTCTTGGGGCCTATGGGGCTGGGGGAAACAGGCACAGAGCTGGAGATGGCAGATTCTAGACACACATTCCACAACCCCACTTCTCATCCACGGAGCTCACACGGAAACAGAGGTGCCTGCAGCAGCTACAGGAACACCTCCCCACCATACCAGCAGCCAAGAGATCCCCCGGACAAACCGTGTGCCCAGGCTGTAGAGTCCACCACCCCACACCTCACCCACTCCTGGCACCTCCAGGGCCTGTAGGAAGCTCCCCGCCCCCAAATCAGCTCTGGGGCTGTCTCTCTGGCCTGGGCCCCAGCTTCTTGGGGCAAGTGGGTGTAGGGGCCTCCTCGGCCTGGGGGCTGAGAAACCTGACGCACCTCTGCCTCCGCAGCTGGCCATCCAGCTTGGGGTTGCCACAGGCCAGTCAGCTCCTCTTCTGAATCTGGGCTAGAATCTTCTCCACCCTGGCAGGAAGAGCAGGAGGCCTGCGGTCGGAGGACATTTCCTGTTTACTGCTGGTGTCAGCGTCGGTCTGAGAGGGCCACCCTTCTGTGGTTAAGTGAGCCCGGACATGTCCCACCCTCCCTTCAGGCTGACTCACATTTCTGCTCGCCTGGTCCTCATGAGAAGGTCTCTGCTTCCTCTGGCCCAGGGGAGCAGGTTACCATCTCCAGATTTGCTCTCCTCCCCTCGCCTGGGCTGGAAGTAGTCTTTCTAATGACAGCAGCAGTGGCCTGCCCTGTTGCCAAATTTAGCAAAAAAAGAAGAAGAAGCAAGAAAAAAGAGAAAGAGATGCAGGTTAAATTTGAATTTCAGATAAATAGCAAATAAGGTTTTAGTGTTAGCAGGTCCTGTGTTTTATCCACGGATCCTAAGTGAGTCTCCAGCCCAGGGAGATGAAGTGACTTTTAGGATCTGATGACAAGCAACACAGGATTCCAGCCACTCAGCTGAGGACTCTATGCCCCTGACAGTCTGCCAGCCAGTTGAGTTTTGCTCCTGTGGTTGGCTGTGCCTATCCTGCTGTGACTCCTGTCCCGTGATCATAGGTGCTCCCCCTGTAGATTGTGAGACAGGGGGATAATGATTTAACCCCACCTCAAAGAGAGGCAGACACTCCCAAGCTGTGATTTTCGAAGTTTGGTCACACGGCAGCAGCAGCAGCATCTGTGATAATTAATTTTATGAGTCAACCTGACTGGGTGATGGGGTGCCTGGATATCTGGCCAAATGTTATTCTAGGTGTGTCTGTGAAGGAGTTTCTGGATGATGTTAACATTTTTTTTTTTTTTTTTTAAAGACAGCTCACTGCAACCTCCACTTCCCTGGTTCAAGCAATTCTCGTGCTTCAGCCTGCTGAGTAGCTGGGACACACACTACCATGCTCAGCTAATTTTTCGTATTTTTAGTAGAGGAGGTTTCACCATGTTGCCCAGGCTGGTCTTGAACTCCTGGCCTCAAGCAATCTGCCTCTTCAGCCTTCCAAAGTGCTGGGATCATAGGCATGAGCCACCACGCCTGGCTGATGTTAACATTTGAATTGGCAGGTTGAATAAAAATTGTCCTCTCCAGTGTGGTGGGCCCCATCCAATCAGTTGAAGGCCTGAATAGAACAAAGAGCTGACCCTGCTGCAAGTAAGCGGGAATGCCTCCTGCGTGACTGCCTTTGAGCTGGGACATCATTTTTGTTTAAGTTCTCAGACTCAAACTGAAACATTAGCTCCTCCTAGGTCTTGAGCCTGCAGACTTCTAGACTGGAACTATACCGGTAGCTCTCCTGGGTCTCCATCTTCCTGACTGCAGATTTTAGGATTTGTCAGCCTCCATAACTGTGAGCCAATTTTTTTTGGAAAGCCTGGCTTTCCAAGGAAATAGACATATATTTTTTGAGGCAAGTTCTCACGCTGTTGCCCAGGATGCAGTGCAGTGGTGCCATCATGGCTCACTACAACCTTGACTTTCTGGGCTTAGGTGATTCTCTCACCTCAGCCTCCTGAGTGACTGGGCCTACAGGTGCACACCACTATTCCCAGCTAATTTTTATATATTTTTGTGTAGAGATAGGGTTTTGCCATATTGTCCAGGCTGGTCTTAAACTCGTGGGCTCAAGCAATCCTCCCGCCTCGGCCTCCCAAAGTGCTGGGATTACAGGCATGAACCACAGCACTGGGTCCCATTTCTTATAACACACATACATCTATTGGTTCTGCTTCTTTGGTGATGCTGACCAATACATCACCTTGGACCCTGTGAGAAAAGTGCATTTCCTTGGGCCCTGATCAGACCTACTGAATCAGAAACCCTGGGAGTGAGGCCCAGAATCTGAGTTTGAGAAAACCCTGCAGGTGATTCTGCTAAAAGTTAAGTTTGCTGCTTTTAAAATAAACATTAGGAGAGAAAAGGGAGCTCAAAGTCCTTGACTTAGTGCTCTTATCTTTTATCGGAATATTCTTGGGTTTCATTGAGCACCTAATTTGGTTTCATCAATCTGTAAGCGGGTGTCAAACACTTGGTCTTCTAAATAGCCTGGATTTTGGGGTGAGGGGGAGTGTAGAGGGAGATGAGGGTTGCGGCAGAGTCTTGGGGATTGCCCAGCCCACACCATCCACTTCCATGTGCTAAGGGATGACTGATATGGTCTGGCTGTGTATCCACACCCAAATCTCACCTTGAGCTATAATAATCCCCATGTGTCAATGGTGGAACCAGGTGGAGATAATTCAATCATGGGGGTGGTTTTCCCCATGCTGTTCTCATGATAGTGAGTTCTCACGAGATCTGATGGTTTTATGAGAGGCGTCCCCTTTTCACTCGGCACTCATTCTCCCTCCTGCTGCCCTGTGAAGAGGTGCCTTCCACCGTGACTCTAGAAGTTTCCTGAGGCCTCCGCAGCCAGCTATGTGGAACTGTGAGTCAATGAAAACTCTTTTCTTTATAAATTACCCAGTCTCGGGTATTTCTTCATAGTAGCATGGTAACTGACCAATACAATGACCTTGGTTTAATCAGGCAACTTTTAGAGCCTGATATCTTCCTCCAGTCAGGCAGGCTGGAGCTGGCTGTTAATCTACCTGGGCACCCGCTACCATGCTCTCCTCTACTCTACCCAACTTTCCCTGTTTCTAAAACATTTTACTGCTCAGTCCAAGGCTCCTGTTTTCTTGCTGGTTCTGTCTCCCACTGTATAGCATTCATAAACAAGTCAAGTCTCTACCTCTCTAGGCCTCAGTTTCCTCATCTGAAAGACAAAAAGCTTAAGCCTGGGCTTCCAGGAAAATTGCAAGGATGGAATAAGAAAGTGTTTAGCAAGCTTCTGAGGGCTGAACACATTGGGGCGGACGTGGTTGTTAAAATTATATATTTACTCCCTTTTGGTGGCCATGGACATCTGGAAATCATGTGTCACCAGAAGGGTGGGAAAGGCTGAGTGGACTGTGCCAGGCCCATCCACTGGACGACACAAAAGGGCTCTGGCTGCAGCCGCCAATACCTCTGCCTCTTGGGGCATGTGATCCTTTAGACCTATGGAGGGGAAGATGTCAGTGATGGGAAAAGCTGCTGTGTGAGGTTTGCAGCCAGTCCCAGTGGAGAATCACAGTGCAGACCCTTGGGTACTGGAGTGAGGCCGTGGCCTCTGCAGTGGAGAACTAAATGCCTCTTGAACAACTGGCGTGCTTCTGGGCCCTACAATAGACTGATCACCTGAACATGGGACACCAAGTGACCATGAAGCTGAAACTGCCCATTGTGAACTGAGTCATATCAGAACCACCAAATCAGAGTGGAGCAGGCCCAGCTGCAGGCCATAGTGAGATGGAAGAGGCACACGTGGAATTGGGCATGAACAGGACCGGAGGGCACAAGCAAGCAGGATCCCTGGGCAGTAGCTCCCTTAGCTCATGCCCATGGCCATGTAGGGCATCGGAAACATCCAGCTGAAGGAGAAGGAAAGAGCCCAAGCTGCTTTATGAATAGGTTCACTGGGTAGGTGGTGTACACTGAAAATGGATGGCTGCTGCATTGCAGACTCTGACAATATAGTTTGGTGCATACAGGAAGGTGCTTTTCATTCATTCATTCATTCTCTTGTTTATACATTACTTTCTTTCCTTCATTCCCTCCCTCATAAAGCATATGCAGTTTGGACCTGATCCCTCCTATCTCCCTGGGTGGAACCTGACACTTTTATTCAAGTCTTCTTTCTAGCCACCCTTTCCAGCGGCATTTAAAATGCTTATATGGGGCTGGGCATGGTGGCTCATGCCTGTAATCCCAGCACTTTGGGAAGTCGGGGCAAGATGACTGCTTGAGGCCAGGAGTTCAATATCAGCCTGGGCAACGTGGCGAGACCCTGCCTCTACAAAAATTTTAAAAATTAGCTGGGTGTGGTGATTAAATTTTAAAAATTTAAAAAATTTAAAAAATTTAAAAAAAATTTATAATTTAAAAAATTTTAAAAATTTTTAAAATTTAAAAAATTTAAAAAATTTAAAAAATTTTAAAAAATTTAAAAAATTTAAGAAATTTTAAAAATTTTAAAAATTTTAAAAATTAGCTGGGTGCAACTGTGTTCCCAGCTACTTGGGAGGCTGAGGCAGGAGGGTCACTTGAGCCCGGGAGTTTGAGGCTGCAGGGAGCTATAATCACACCACTGCGCTCCAGTCTGGGTGAGAGTGAGACCCTGTCTCAAAAACAAACAAATTCTTATGTGTCATTCATTTTATAAGAAAACAAAACTCTACTCCACTTCATCCTCTATCTATTGCCCATCTCTCTTCTCTTTGCAGCCAAACTGAAGAGCACTGGCATTCCTCCCCAGAACTCCTCAATGTGTCTCCTCCAATCAGGCCTCCACCCCGTCCTCCCTCTAAATAGTCCCTGCCTCCCCTCTCGGTCATGCCTCCATTCTCTCCATCCTCACTGCAGCCAGCCTGCTGCAGGCCAGCCCTCCTCCTGCACAGATATCTGCTATGGCCTCCTAGCTTATCTTGCTGTGACAATTTTTGTTCCTTGGGTCCATCCCCAACAGACAACCAGGGTGATTTCTTGGGAGCATAAATCTCAGTATTTCACAGGCTGTATTAGTCCCCTACAGTTGCCATAACAAAGTATACTTCCACTGTGATTGTATAAGTTTCTTGAGGCCTCCGCAGCCTCAAGAAACTATCTGAGACTGGGTGGCTTAAACAACAGAAATTTATTTTCTTATAACCTAAAGGCTAGAAGTCCATGATCAAGGTGCCAGCAGGTTGGTTTATCCTATGGCTTTTCTTCTTGGCTTACAGAAGGCTGTTTTCTCCCTGTGTCCTCACACGGGCTTGCCTCTGTGCCGCGGCTGTCCTGGTGTCTATTCCTCTTCTTATGAGAACACCAGTCCTATTGAGTTAGGGCCCCACCCTATGACCTCATTTAACTTTAATTATCTCCTTAAAGGCTCTATTCCAAATACAGTCACACTGGGAGATAGAGCTTCAACATATCAATTTGGGGGCACACAGTTCAGTCCATAACACATGCCTACACATTTCTGTTACTCTCAGGATAGAAAAAAACCCTTTATTTACATGGTCTATAAAACCCTGCATGACCTGGCACTTGCCTGTTTTCTGATCTCATCTGGTCAATTCTCCCCTTTCTTCTGTTTAATTCTCAGTTCCTCAGACATGCAGGCTTCTTGCCTCTCTAGGACCCTACTACATAATGTTTCTCTTGCCTGAAATATTCCCTTTTACCACCCTCCCCACTCCCTCAGCTTGCATAATGTCTATTTATTCTTCAAAATTTAGCTCACATATCTTCCTTGGGAAGTTTCCCATGGCACTAGGTCAGAGCACCCACTTAAATTTCCTCTGCACATACCTCACTTATCCCATGGCACTGAACATCATAGTCATCAATTATGTAACTATACAGTTAATTGTGTGACGCTTCTCTCCCTTCCATAGAATTAAAGCTCCAAGAGAGTAGGACCACACCTGTTTTGTTCACTGTGGTGTGCCAGGCACCGAGCACAATGCACTGTATACAAGAAGTGCTTAAAAAATAAACATCCAAAGAATTCGCAAAGGTGAAGGTAGATGCCTTGTTGGGCTTCTGATAAAGAAGAGGACCAGCAGCCCTGTGAACCACCTTCCAGTCAGGAAAGCCGTCCTGATCTGTTTAGGAAGTGGCACAGAAGGCTCTAGCTAAAATCTCAAGGGGGAATGTTAAAGTTCCATCTCTGCCCAAATTGCTCAACCATGAGAGATTGTTTTCAAAGAT